GCATCATGCATTGTACAATGTTTCTGCAGAACTCGGCTCTAATAGCAACAGACGCATCCGCGCTAGCAAACAAGCGCAATTACGTCCCTCCGTCGAGCGAATTAAAAAAGTTTGTTTTTCATCCTCTCCTTTTTTTCCGTGCGAACGCTCTCTTTGCGTGCGGTTGGTGGTAGTTTGCACTTTGCGGAAATCTGTCTTCTTGTGGTCCAGCACAGTGTTGTCACTCACTGGACGTAAAAAAGAAATGATTTCTCATAGAAAAACGCAGCAATGAATTTCCTGGCTTTTTAATTATATCAGTTCACCTCTGTCATTAATGCCCATGGACTGTGATTTTTGAACCAGTTGGTGCTGATTTATCTCGTATAGCTACCAAATTCGCGACAGATAAAGTTATTTACTTTTAAAACATACTACTGGGTGTAAAAATTACATCTCTTCAAGGTAAGGATGAAAAAATTTCAACTTCAGAGAATCACGTGCCATGTGCTTCTTACCCCCCCCCCCCCCCCCNGGTCCCCCACCATATTTGCAATGTGCATCCGTGAATAATATGTGCGGTACCGACAGTAGCGCTACGACGGCGTTGAACTGAAACTCAGCCAACTGTGACTGTGACGTATGACGTGACGCATACTAAACGGGCACCGGCTACACGTTGACAAACTGCAGGCTGATTATTGAAACTGATAGACAAAGCTATAGACAAAGACGACAAAAGGGATTTGGAGGGATCCTATTGGTGGAAGCGAGTGGTGGCTGAAGAAGACTACTTCAGTTATTTTACATTTTTATTTTGCACCTGCCCAATTAGGCAACCAGCCATGTAGTTGAGCACTTATGTAACCGCGATTACATAACAAGCTAGGGGAGTTACGCAACGACATCACGCCACCATCGGTTATGTAATCACTCTTATAAATACAGCGGCAGCGGCCACTGCAAAAACAGTCTCTTTTTCATCTCCAAGAGCTCAACTACTCCTCTCCTAGGCTTGCCTGAGTAAGGCTGCTTCCTTTTGACTGCATGCTTGAGTAAAAGCTGCACTAGTCTCTATTTCTCTTTATGCTGCACTCTTGAGTAAAGATGCAAACTATTTCACTTCAAATGTATGCTTGAGTAAAGCTACATTCCGCTCTCTAACTTTCTTGTAACTGCACTCTTGAGTAAAGATGCAAACCATTTTACTTCAAATGTATGCTTGAGTAAAGCTACATTCCTCTCTCTAACTTTTCTGTGACTGCTCTCTTGAGTAAAGAAGCACTAGTCGACCTTTCTAATAATTCCATCTTTTACCTCCTAGATAGCATGCTTGAGTAAAGCTGCTTTTCTCTTATTCTCATCAAACGTGCTATCAGTTAGTCATGCTAGTTTTCAGTAAAAGAGTTGTTTTCTATGATGATAGGACTTATTGAGCCAACTTTTGTGCCAAGTCATAATTCCAACTTTCTGAGAAAACTACCACTCTTTATTTCATGCTGAAAGCTTTGACTCTCTCTGATTTACAAGGTCCCTCGAGCTATTCAAAAACACTGAGTTTTATTCAGTGGCAATGGACATAGGAGGTAGGTAATAGACTAACTAACGGCAACCCACGAGAGACCCGACAGTTAGTCTATCATTTTTTCCCTTTGTCTATAGGAACCACCCATTTCAACCAATAGGATCGCTCCATACTCCCTATGTCTCCTTTGTCTATAGCTTTGTCTATCAATTTCAACAATCGGCCCGCAGGTCGAAATAGGTGATCATATAAATGCGAGAGGTCATTATGCGGCTGCAGCTTTAGAATTCATCGAAAATTTTCGCACGTGCGAAATGGCTGTACCAAGAAGCCGTATATAATTCCCAGAATTTGGTGACTGATACCTTCACAAACTATTTTGCTGTTCAAGACTCTGTAGGTGCCTGGTGCCATATGAGACGCGGTGCTTTTTTTCATAAAAATAATCATTATTTGTTGAAGCATGGACAAAGTTCTAAAATTAAGATGGCAGTCTCGGTGATCACGAGTAACATCTCACTTCAAAATCTCAGTTTGTCAAACCCAAAAACTTTAGTGCTTTCCAAATGAACCGAAGGTTTTTGGTTCATTAAACTATACCATCGATGTAAATCATGTTAGAACATATTTTAAAACAGTTTGTTTTTCTAGCCCAGCGTTAAAGTCTCCAAGAAGGGTCGCCGTTCAAGTATTATGCTAGATATTTTGTGTGACTTTTTGACCCCCTTTCCCCCATTTGTAAGGCATTTTCTGACCCTTCCCATCTTTTGGATCAAATTTGACTGACCTAACCCCCTGCCCCCCCCCTCCCGCCATCCTCAATTTTTCAGACAATAACTAAGAAATCCTGCAAAGTAGCTGAATAAATTACTTTTATTGTAAGATAATTTTTTATGGTCTAGTTCATAAAAAACAGCGTAACTCGATAGCAAATTTTTTTTGACCTCCTCCAGCAAAGATTTTTATTGGAATTTGAAATAGCAAAAATATTATGATTTGCATGTCGAAATATTTTATCAGAAACAAGTCACCCAACATACTTCATTGCGCTAGGTTTCAATTATTTACCTCTCAAAATGAAAGAAAGCAACACAGCGCCTTGAAAATTTGTGAAAATATTTTTTTTAAAATCGAGGGATAGTGCACAAAAAATGTCATAGAATTGTAATTTTTTAGATCTTTAGTGGAGGAATGATACAGTATGCAAGGGTCAACGTATACTGCAGTTTGGTTGATCCTGGTTTAATCTTTTGACATCAATAATATCGAACACAAAATTTTCACCGCAAAATGTTTCTTCCGTAGCATCCTCTTGGAAGAACATATCTTGTACAATGTATCCGTCGGAAAACGGAAGAAATGGCGACAGCACGCTGTGTTAAATGATCAAGTGACACAGTTGCGAGACTGCTATGAAGATAATCTTGTGCCCTTTTCAAGACGCGCGGAATGACAAGTAATTTTTGGTGGTCTGGCAACATATGTGGCGGCGACTGTGGAGCATAAAACGTTCCTTTGTTTCATTTCGTCTCGGATGTAATCGCGGTCTACGTCTTGGACTCCGGGATGCGTGGCGAAAATGATACGAGATTCCATCGTTTTCATCATAACCTCTTCCGTCCGATGTTGTCCGAAACGTCTGTGTGATGCAGACACACATGCTGCCTCTGGGTTCACCCATTGGGCTGCAATAACCAAACTAAGACTTTTTCCTTCATAATTTTTCCCTCCTAAGGTGCCCCTAGTCGCATCTACGGCTCACAAGCTCCCCTAATTTCTGGAAAAATCTTCATTTTTTTCTAACTTTCGTCGACGGTAACCTTTAACGACCAAATTTAAAATTATTCTCTACCAAATTTATATTCAAACGTTTTTCGACCAAAACTCATGAAGTATGGGTATTTTTCCTGACTTTTCACGGTAAATTATTAGAAATATCGAAATCCCACTCTAAAAGGGGACCCCCTTGGATCTTTCAGGGTAAAAAAATTGCTCCCCTCCCCCTTGGACCTCCAAAAATTTCCTGTAGTTCAAACTGTTGATGACATCATCTAAGCACATATGTTGATGATGTCACAAGGACATCCGTTGATGACGTCACAAGGACACCGGACACCCGTTGATAACGTCACAAGGACACCGGACACCCGTTGATAATGTCACAAGTACACCCGTTGATAACGTCACAAGGACACCTATTGACAACATCACAAGACACCCCTTGATAACGTCATAAGGACGCCCGTTACTAAAGTCTCGAGGACATTAACCGACCCAAAAATGTAAATTTGTACTATCGCTCAATTCAATTCAATAATTACTACTGAATAGTATTTTACTTTAAATTAACGTTACGGTTAAATATGTACATACTTCAAGAGATTCAGTAGTCAGGTTGTAACGCCAACTGATTCGTATGTAAATGTAACATCTGTTCCTCGGTCGAGAACGAGACAGTTGCGTGTAATTTGGTCCGGTTCCTGATGCAAGCGATGCGCTGTGGTCCATCGGGTCATGCGTGACGCGCCGCCGTCGCGTCCTCTGCAGACTGGTCGGACGTCGGTTAATGATGGTGCGAGCGCAAAAAAACGGAAACGTATCCCAGTGAACGATGTCAGAAACTGCTTACGGTATCGCACATCTTTCCGTGTGCCCCGGGAACAATCAGAATTTCACTCGTTTAGCATGCATGAATCACTTTCAAAACTTCTAAGATCGATACCGTCTTGCCGAGGAAAAACGCAATATGGACACTTGAATGTTGCCAAATTTCTTTAGATGAAATATTTGTTGGTATTGTCTAATATATGTATAGTTAACAACGAATTGACAGTTGACTTAACCGTTTTACAAAGCTTCGAGTGGCCTCTGAGAGCTCCGCATTTTAACTTCTCAAGGTACCGCATTACCTTCTCTAACATATTCTTAGACTCTACCTAGCATAAATTGGGAAAAAAGTCTTTTGGATCTAGAGTGCAGACTCTTTAAAAGTTTGAGAAGAAAAAGTACGCTTGATTCGATCGGATCTACGCGTGAATCTCGAGCCAAGCCTCGTAATCTAGGTAAATTTCTGTACGATTTATAGCAAATATCCAATTGAATCAAGAGTATTGTTCCCGTCGAATTTTTTAAGTGTTTCGACTCGGGATCTAAGGTTCTAAGGGAAGCCTCGAAATCTAAGCGGATTTCTTTTAGATTCAAGCAAGCATCTGATTGAATCAAGAGTAGATTTTTTTATAAAATTTTTAAGAGTCTGAACTCAGGATCTAAAATACTTTTCTTCCAATGTACGTATGTTACAAGTGCTAATTGGACGTATTTCTGTCAAACGGAACTATGTGCATTATGGCGTGAGCCCTGCCATGCATATATTCTTATGGGTATCAGGGCTCATGTCTTAATGCACATACTTCCGTTTGATAGAAACACGTCCAATTGATTCCAAATGCGTATTTTTCTTGACTTTCTCAACAATTCTCTGTTCTGTGTGTTGCAGTTGACTTGGAGAGCAGCGGCCCGTACAAGCGTGTGCCACCGCCGAAGCCGGTGAGTGGAGCTGGATCGGAGAGCCGCCCCACTGCCAGCGCCACCCCGCCTCTGACGACCACCCCGCCGCCACCCCCGTACAGGATGCCCCCGCGGCCCCTTCACAACGAGCCGCCCATCCCCGGGGCCCCGGACCAACCCCACGCATCCACCCCTAGTCTTCACACCCACTCAAGCAAATTTCCGGTAAGTCCCGATACTTCGATTACGTTTTGAAAATACAACCGTATGGTAAATACGTTAGTTTCTACTGGATGTGGAGATTTGTAACTGAAAAAGCCCGACACAAGTTTCTCCAGTGAGTCAAGCCCATCCGAGTGTTATTTTTTAAAATTTCCTCTCGTGATATTTCTCTTCTTTTGCCTCTCCTTCTTTTCCTCTCTTTTTTCCTCTTTTTCTTCTCCTGATTTTTCTTTTTCTTTTTTTGAGAAAGTTCTAATTTAATATCAGAAATATGTCAGCATAATTTCTGTCCACAATTTTGCTGATTCTTTCGTGTGATCAGAGGAAAAATCAGTGAAATTCACAGTTGAAAGTGCCCAAAGTCTCTTAATAAGGGGTCGTTCATAAAACTTCCCCTCCCCTTTTTAAGGCACCCATATCGAAAGTTCATACCTGCTCCTCCAAGAGCGTTACGTATGTTATGAACAACACCTAAAAGTACAAGTTGGACGTGGATATTTCGCAATGTTGAAATTCATTTATTTTTTTCCGATAGAGAAAGGACGGATTGCAATACTGCGGTGCTAAGGAAAACGCCGTATGAACATTCGAGTGTTGCCAAATATCCTCCGATAGAATGCTTATTTTCGAGGGAAGTTATCAATATTTTTCCTTGAAATTTTTAGACTATTTAGATCAAATTACGAACTAAATACCCTGAAAAATCGGAGGGAAAATGTTTATAAACATTCCCGAAAATTCATGTTTCATCATACAAAGGAAATTTGGCAACGCCTAAAGGCTCATATGGCGTTTTTCCGTAGCAAGGTAGAATAAGTGGCTAAATCAAAGAATCTTAATAATATTCCAATAATATAAAAGATTAAGGATAGAAATTTAACAAAACTTATAAATTGCAATTATAAAAATAAACCAAATAGTTTCTATCTTAAAATTGTGCAGAAGTAAAATTTACGGTTGATCCATCCAATACGGTTACCAATACGGCTCCAATGCGCACTGGAAAAAAAGAACACATTGGATCTAGAGTCCAGACTCTTAAAAACACCGACAAGACAAAATACTCTTGATTCAATCGGATTTTTGCTTAAATCAAGAACCAAGCCTCTTAATTTGAGCAGATTTCCTTTTGATTTAAGCAAAAATCTGATCGAATCGAGAGTATTTTTTCTTGTCAATGTTTTCAAGAGTCTGGACTCTAGATCCAATGTGTTTTTTTTTTTTTTCCAGTGCGTTTGATCCATAGAGTTGTAATTTCTGCACGGGTTGCCCTAACCTGTTGACTACGGTTACCCCGGGCCGGCCGGGGACCCACCTGCTGGATCCTGGACGTTCCTACAGGACCCCGAGTCCATCTTCTCGCTTGGCTGCCCCGCGAGCCGCGAACGGGGTTAAGTGCAGCGAGTCATGACGTCTTGCCCAGTTGCCCCCGCCGTCGGGCCGAACACCATCCTAGTCCGCACCGGAAATCAAAGCACGGTTTCAAGATTTTAACTCCAGCGCCGAGGCAGGGGCCGGGGCAGTTATCTGTAACGGCCGCTTATTATTAGGATTTTTAGCGTGGCGCCCCTCGCGTCCAACCCCACTTGTTGCCTTCGTCCTTTCGTTTCCGTCACATCCGCTCCGGGCTCCGTACTTGCTGATCCGTCGAGTCACCCGTGCGCTGTGCTCTTAAAAAGAGTGAACTAGAGTACCTGTATAGGGAGAGTACCGACAGATCGGTTCATGGAGGGCTTAGGGCCCAAAAGTGCAGCCACCCTTCTAACCAACTTCTAACGCACAAAATTTCACTGCCAGTCTGCAGATTCCAATTCTAACCAAGATGGCCAAGAATGTACAGAAATGAGTGTTCTTCCGCGAAATTGCGTAAATTTATGCAAAAACTGAGTCAAACACGTGCTTAATAAAGGACGGTTCGTAACAATAGTATCAGTAAATCGCTCTGGATGATTGAAATTCATAGGTTGGCTGCCCTTTTGAGCCCTAACTTTATTCGCGGAGGCATCGGTGAAGGCCTGATGGACTTTCGGAGTTTCAGATCTGTCGGTACTCTCCCTACACAGGTGCTCTAGAGTGAACGTGAAGGGAAGTGTTGGCTCTCAGACAGTGTTCGAAACTCACAGGCGCCAACGCGCCAAATGCGCCTAAGAAATCGGTCATGGCGCCTAAAAAATGAAGGCTCTACGCCAACGTGGCCCCTAAAAATTGCCCTCCCCCCAAAAAAAATCCTAATTTTTCTTTTCGGTGAATTTTCAAAATTTCCCCCAAATTACAGTTACTAGCTCTGTGACTAAAACATCTTGCGTCTAACTTTTCAGTAAATGCGCCGTGTTATATAGGCACAAAGTCAATCTGGGCCCTAAAAAATCCTCAATGACCCCTAAAAATTGAGCTTGATGCGCCACATGGCTCCTAAAACTCAAAGGTGAGTTTCGAACGCTGCTTTTAGACCCTGTCCACACGAGCGCGGTTCGAGGAACTTATTCGACGAACTGCTCAGTTTCCCGAAACCTGTTCCTTAAAACGAGGGATGCTGCATACCACTAGTTTCCCTATGAACATAAGTGTTCTGATAAATGAGCCAGAAATTGTGCTTCCGAATTGCAAAATGTGGTCCAATTTAAGACGGTTTGTTTTCCTGGCCTGGCGTTCAAGTCCCCGAGAAGGGTCGTTACTCAAGTATCGCGCATTTGATCGACTACTTAAACTGAGTGAAATACGTGCTTTAAAATCGGTGGGTTGTAAAAATTTCAAGAGTAAATCGTTCTGAATAATTTGAAATCATTGGCTGCCATTTTGGGCACTATCTTTATTCGCGGTGGCATCAGTGAAATCCTGATGAATTTTTGGAGTTTGACGCTTGCCCATACTCTCGCTATACACAGGTACTCTAGACTATACTTGATATGAGCAATATCCATCGAAGAAGAAAACTCGAAAATATCCCCAACAAGCCGAGTCAGCAAATTCTTTTCTTTCTTCCTCCTCTATTTTTAGTTCTTCGTCTTCTTTTCTTTGCAGTCCTGAGGCTTTTCTGCCCGACTTCTGCGCTCTTTATCCTTCCTCCAACCTTCTTTTCCTCCTGGGCTTGTCTGCGGTCTTTACCAACCGCCAGATAATCAAGATAGTGATATCAATGCTCAAAGGGACGTGATGAATTATTTTTCGGAGATCATCCAACCCAGAACAAAATTTCAGTAGACTACAATCGAATCAATCATTGGTTTGAAGTTTATGCGGGAAGTGATCAGTATTGTGATCCCAACTTTTGGAAATGGCTGTTTGTCCCAAAGAAGAATCAGCACTGGAAAAAAAAAAACACATTGGATCTAGAGTCCAGACTCTTCAAAACATTGACAAGAAAATGGACTCTTGATTCAATCAAATTTAAGCTTAAATCAAAAGGAAATCAGCTCAAATTAAGAGGCTTGGTTCTTGATTTAAGCTTCAATCTGATTGAATCAAGAGTATTGTTTCTTGTCGATGTTTTTAAGAGTCTGGACTCTATATCCAATGTGTTTTCTTTCCAGTGAGGCCCAAGTCTTCGGGGAGCCCAGGACAAACAACATAAACATAAGCAAACATGAACAAGTGACATTAGCTCCGTCGGAGTTGACAATATCGCAAGATGATGACAAGCTCTTTCAATGGGACTGTCGCATAAAACGAAGCCACCGCGCGGATGTGCGTATGAGAACCGAACGGGACCCAACTTTCGTTTCTCCCACCCCCGAGTTTTCTCATCGGGTTTGACGACGACGGATCAAGAACAAGAACAAAAGCTTGCAGGAAGATCGATGTTTCCTTCTGTTGCGTCGGTAACGAGGCTTCGGCCGGAGCCGCGAGGTGCAACAAAATTTCGACCCGATCGACGACGTCGACAGCCGCAGCAACAGCCGCGCGCGCGTATGAGAAAATTCTCACAGAAAAAAAGAGATTAGCAATTGATTCCCGCTTCCTGCACAAATGCGGGCGAGGACTCCACTTTCTTTCTCATATCCGTCGCACCGCGCACTCGACTCGACGACAGCGTGGATGCGTTTATTTTACTGAAATGTGTGAGCTGAGACGATATATTTTAGAGATCTAGCACTACTATATTCTTAATAGTGTAAAAGTTATGTTTGGAAGTGACCACCTTACACTGGAAAAAAAACACATTGGATCTAGAGCCCAGACTCTTAAAAACATCGACAAGAAAAAGTACTCTTGATTCAATCAGAATCTAGCTTAAATCAAGAACCAAGCCTCTCAATTTAAGCGGATTTCGTTTTGATTCAAGCAAAAATCCGATTGAATCAAGAGTATTTTTTCTTGTCGATGTTTTCAAGAGTCTGGACTCTAGATCCAATGTGTTTTTTTTTCCCAGTGTAGATATTCACCTTATATAATGATTGCTGACCAAAGTGTTGAGTAATTTCTTCAGCAAACGCAATCTAATTTACAGAAACTCGGGTAGCAAACAGTGGCCGGAAATGGATGGAGTTGTACACTTTCATTCTATGTCTTCTTTGAAATGGAGAAAATTTCCTTTTCCAGAGTCTATTTTTCGTAGTAATATGCATCGGAAAAACGTTGGATAATTTCGACACTGGTAATCCAAAATTGGTGGTGTGCACTAACTCACTTGAGGTGTCCTCCAACTTATTGGTGCAGCACTGCAGCACCAGTTACTTTCAGCACAACACCAATAAGTTGGTGCATAACACCGATTTGGGTTAGCTGTGTCGAAATTGTCTAACGTCTTTGTTGCAATGTGCATTCGTTTTATATGCACTGTGCACTGAGCCCCTTAATCATTTCATCAAAGGTCCACAATTTTACTTCAACGTACGATGAGCAATGCCGAGATGACCGATTCTTCGCTCTTTGCTCTCGAGCTTTATCCGATGTGACCCACCGAGCGGAGAGGTCGCGAGGCCATAGATCTCACCGCATCTTCGTGTGTTCGCCCGTTTGTGCATCACTCTCTTCAAGGAGTTGTTAGCTCGACACGCCGACAC